CATAGCAGCATAATTAAAAGCGTCGTGCAATCTGTGCCCGAGATGTAGTAGGTTGAGTCCGTTAGACCTTGAGAGGAAGTTTTGTCCGTAACAGACAGCAACAGACCAGTTCATGTAATCCTGTTACTATCAAGAACATTGAACCAAGGCTAGGATTTGAAGGAACCTGAAAGAAGTGAATTTCAGGGGTGCGAATCCCTGAAAGTCTCGCAACAGGCAAAGCAGCCCTCCGGTCTGAGTCAATGTGGGGAAGGGAAAGAAAGCTGAATGAAGGAAGACTATCGGAAGAAGACTATCGACAGCGAAACTCGATTCATTTCATACCATGACGACAATTTTCAACAATGAGCGGACTCTACCATCATCGAGTAGGCCCGTTGGTTGATATGTGAAGTTTTGGGGTGTAAAAAGTCATTTATAGAAATCCAGATTGACTAATTCGAATAATTCTTTGTTGAGACATACAAGGCTTTTATGCCATCCATGCTGTAATGTATAAAACCGCTTTCAATTCGACTAATGCCATTCATCTTCTCGGGACTTCCATTCCGGAGATTTCTTTCCCGTATAACGAACACTTTATTCCGTGTGACAAAAAAATTGGTCAGTGAAATTCCATGTCCTCCCATCTTGAAACCTCGGTATTCCTGTTATTCTTAATATTGTATATCCTTTGAATTTTTAGGCATTTTTCGTGCATTGCTGATAGAACGTCATAGAATGGAAGAGGTGCTTGGTAGGGTAGTGTGCAATCAACAAGCTATGAACCATTTTCAGGCCTTTGAAAACGACGAGTCCGTCGAAACATTGGCCAGAATGAGGATTCCCACCTAACAACTTCGGGGCAGAAGCAAAATTAACAATTTCAAGTACTGATCGGTGAACTCATCACTCCAATTTCAATGGTCCCGAAGTTTTATGAAAACAGTTACAATGTAGTCACTATGGGAAGCTCGTGAAAGGTCTTCCAGCATTTTTCAAAACTTATGAATAGAATTTTCATTTCAATTCTGTCACGTGAGATTTTTTTCCCCGAATAGGCTAGTATTTGAACTCTCCCGTGGGAAATCCCGATCTTCGAGCGTCAATGATGTGTTTTTCTAAGAGCTTATCAGTCTCTCTCTCCCTCCCACAGACGTCTCCCTTGCCAAGTTTCTTTGCATGGCCATGAATATATTTTCAGTCGTCCGATCGAGCTTTTCCGTCAGAAAAAAGCGAAGCATCCCGTCTCCCACCACTGTATCGATTTTCGACCGTCGTTCTCACTTCCCCATGTCAAGGGCTATATTCTTATTTATTACACCATTAAAAGGTTTTATACGGAGGGAACGAGAGCTAGCTCATTCCTAAACGTTGGTCTTATCTTCTTAGGTGGGCTACTCGACTAGGAACTAGTTATTATTAGCTAGCTATTAGTCCTCATCTGTCTCTGGGTCGTCCGTCCCTAACATTAAAACTTTTATGTCATTTCAATGATCTAGGTGGCCTTCTAATGACTACCTTTCATATTTTCGTAACTAATTTTCTATTTTTGAGAGTTCCCGAGCTCCTAATGTAAAATTGAGAGTGGGAGGAAGGGTGGCGATTCAATTTTATGCTGGTTTTGCGAAAAAAATCACCCAGACACACTAGAAGGATCAATATTTTCAGATGCTGTGCATTGCTCAGTCATTGTCAGTAACATGCATATCAATCAATACTAATCAATACAGATCTGGGGGGGGGG